AAATGTGATGTGATGTATACATACTTTGCACGCACGCTTTGTGGCGTATGATTCACCGACTTCGTTAAATAAGAGTACTACGAGGGAAGTACGCTGTACTCAGACATTACCTTCATGCTGTTTTGGTAACTTGTAAAACCTGAGCCAGACATTTGAAGAAGTGACGTATGAACAGGTGTATCAAACTCATGTCTGTCTCCTACCGCAGCATCGTGAGCCGCGGTGATGTGCTGTGCTGTGCTCATCAAACACATTCCAAGATGTACAGATCCAGACACAGCAGTGAGTGTAGAAAGCCCTGAGGCGGACATAATCCTACACCTACTCACACACACACACACACACACATACGCAGACACGCAGTAGGACCTTTAATTATCCTGATACTCTGACCTCATGCTGTCTTTAAAATCCAATCAGAGTCGTCTGGATAGATTACTTCATGAAATTAGAATAAATAACAATATAACACATTATCTTATTCCAAGATCTTAATGAATTACATTTACACCATAGACACAAAGTAAAAGTTACACGCTCAAATGGAAAATGTTGTTGCTGTTTTTTTCATATTTTTATTCATTTGACAAAATTCCATCTGTTTTTAAACTGAATCCTTAGATGTGGGTTTCTGTCCTGACTGTAGGGTCTGTGGTGGTTGAGGTGAGGGAACATTAGGAAAGATAACTAACTCACAGTGTCGGCATGTTGAAAATTCCATATGTGGAAATAAACGTTTCAGATTGTTTTCTTTCTTTAACTTTAAGGCATTTTTTCTCATCCTATACCAGGAAGCCACTCCTAGAAATGATTTGAATATAATCTGATCAAAAATATTATTTTAACGTTCTCATATTTTATATTATTTAGTGCAGTATCTGGATCCTGGATTCCTGTCAATCACCATCTTTGTACTGAGACCAAAGGTCCCCTCCCTCCAGGCTCTGATGGATTTGTTACAGGGCCACAAGGAAAGAATAACATTAAACTACATATTGTTTTCATTTTATTAATATCTAAGATTAAATGTTTCAGTGTTAGAAGAGACCAATATCTAACTGCATCTGTCTGTTGTCAGTGACGTGACATGTCTCCAAAAATACTTTAAAAATGATATCATAGAAACTTTGCTGGTCATATAGAAGAAAGTCAACATGAAGCTTCATTTTCTCCAGAGCTTAAAACCAAAAAACAAATTACTGAGTAGAAAAAAGACAAGACACACTTCAGATGTCAAAATCCTTATTAACCACAAATGACTTGTTTTTCTTAATGTTAATTTGTGTCATGTTTCCATAGAGTTCAGAGACATGTTTGCTGAAATGCTACAACAAAATATTCTCTGAGTTTTCACCACTAAAATCTACTTAAGATTCTTCTTAAAGACTCATATAAAACCACAGAATGGAAAGATGTGTCAGTTCTACAGACTCTGTGTGTGATTTTCAAACCCCCAGCTCTGGCTTCTTTTACCACTGTGTGTTTGATGTTGCCATGCTGAGAGGAGGACGGAGCCGCACTCACTGTAAACACTGCAGCTCGATTTTTCATGATGAATTGAGCGTGACACTTTGCCGATCTGCCGCTGACCTGCCTTTGCATCTGTATAAAACAGATGTTATCTTCAACTGCATTAGCTTGAGAACATCATCCATCACTGTGAAGAGCAAAGGCTTCTTCAACCTGACATCCTTCCTCCTCCGCTGCCACACTGCTCATAAAATTGCGTGTGTGTCCACTCTATCATCAGCTGCATATTTTATCCTTATCGGTCAATGGCCGTTTCTGTCGACTTTCTGCTGATCTACATGTTCCAT